TGTGATCAGGCATAAGGAGTGCTCTGTGAACTTTTAGGACAAATGAAGAAGTGGTAGAAATCACGCTGGACTGCTAATTTGTGCTCATGCATGCACACACTCACTCTAGTGCCCTTGCACACACAAGTAACATCCTGTCCCCTCTACCTCTTTCCACTGTTGAGCCAGGGTGGACTTTTCCCTGCATTGCACCAATCTCTGAGCGCCCTTCCAATCTACACTTCCAGCTCCCCCCAAATACTTAGTCACCTGCCCTCCTGTCTGTGCTCATGGCTTCAGTCTCCTCTCCATTCCATCCTTTGTTCTGTAAAAGGAAATTCTAAAATTCAAACCAGAAGATATCTTCTCTCTTAAAGCAAACTCCACTGACCACCTCTCCATTTCCATCACCTTCCATGATCTTGCCTGCCCAAATAGCTTGAGCCAGCTTTTCCCTGTCCTTTACATTTCTAGTCATCCATGTATTAAATTTTTTAAAAGATTTATTTATTTATTTATACAAGCACTGGGTACAGTCAGAAGCAGGGGAGAGTGAGAGAATTCACCAGAGTCAGAGCGGAGAGCAGAGCAGGCAGACTGACGAAGTACACTGCTGAGGGGAGCAGCGGGCGAGACAGGAGAGGTCTATGCGCAATGTGGGACCCTCACCCGGTGGCTGGGAATCGAACCGATGCTGCAGAGGCTGTGGGCAGCTTCACAACCCAGTGCTCAACCGCTGCACCACCGGGGAGGCCCCCATGTATTAAATTTTAACTGAATGCCAATTACATGCACAGCTTATAGCCTGACATATTCTCTCTGAAACCCAGGCTCAGCAGGGTAAATTGTATTGCCCTGAAAACCCCAGACTTTTTCCAGCCTCCAGGCCTTTGCTCATCTTTTCCTTTAACTGGTAGATTCACCACCAATGACAAAATTATGACCCTTCCCTGCCATCAGCCTCACTTGACCACATGTCCTCTGAGGTCCCAGCTGCACTGTGGCAATTGGTACACCCGCACCAGCACCCATCTTAAGCTCATTCGCTTACATGCAACTAACTTCCCCTCCAGCCTGTAATCTTGGAATTATCCCATATCCCTATTGTCCAGTGCGGGCCCTGACCTCTAGCCACTCTTAAGAAGCACTTGCTGAGCGAAGTGTCATCTCCACTCCGTTCCTGATCGTGGAAATGTGGTTGTGTACTATTTATCCCTCAAAGTTCAAGTGGTTCTAAAGAGAAAATGCTCTGTGGGTTTTTCTAGCATTGATATCAGCTGCATTAATAAGAAGCACAATGTAATTATCAAATAATAGTTTTGTAAGGTGCTTTTCACCTAGGAACCCTAGGAAACAGAAGAACTAGGACTTAAACCCAGACTTCTGACAAGTCATATGTTCAAAAGAGCTGGAAAAATAAAAGGGATATCATAGGAACAGAAAGTAAACTGGGGAGTACCAGGGGGTGGGGAGAGGAAAGTGGAGAGTTTTTGCTTAAAAGGGACAGAGTTTCAGTTTTACAAGATAAAAAGAGCTCTGGAAATAGATGGCAGGGATGTCTATACATTATATTTTTGTGCCACTCAACTGGAAACTTAAAAATAGTTAAGATGGAATTTTCATGTTATGTGTTTTTTACCACAATAACAAATGGCGGGGGTGGGGAGCAAGGGCGAGTATTTGTTGGTGAAATAGTGAAGCAAAAGGGACAGCCTGCTGTTGCCAAAAGATAAATGTTATACTTTACCCCGTTCATATACTTTACCCTCTAAAACGTAGTTAATCTGGCTCTCAATTATTAATTCCAAGGAGGCAGAGAACCTGTTAGTCATTCATTCATTTTTCAACATTATTGAGCACTGAATATGTTTCAGCTTCTAGTAAAGGCTGGATAACCTAACAGTGAGATAAGCGCTCACGAGTTGCTGAGCTAATGCAATTTACAACATATCGGGGGACATAATTAGAAGCCATGTTGGTATTTGAGAAAGAAGTTAAGGGTATGCAACAACAGAGATTAATAAGGGTGTCTTCAGATAGGAGAACCTTCCCTGAGAAGGTGAAGGTCGAGACCTGAGGGATAAGCAGAAGTCAACAGGAGAAAGATTAGCAGGAGGGGGAGGCTGGTTGTTGCAGGCAAATAAAACATCTTGCATAAAATTCCTGAAATAGAAAATAGTTTGACCTTGTCAAGACATCAAAAAAGATCCAGAGTGGCTGGATTTGAGATGACCAGGGGGAGTGGAGATAACCACACAATACAGAACCTCATAGCATGTGTTATGGAGCCCCCAAATCCCTATGTTGAAGACCTACCCCTAATGTGACTATGTTTGGAGGCAGGACATCCAAGGAGGTAATGAAGGTCGAATGAGATCATAGGATGGGGACCTGATCTGATAGGATTAGTGTTCTTACAGCAAAACCCCAGAGCAGGGAGCTTGCTTTCTCTCATAGATGGATAGATGATTGATAGGTAGATGGGTAGGTAGACAGAGAAATAGATAGATTGACTGATTGATAATTGAGCTACCCATACAAAAAATAAAAGGACAAATTCCATGAATCTAAACTGCCTCATATTTTATTTATTTTTTAATGAGTTATTTTATTTATTTATGCAGACAAGAACCGGAGGATAGGCCAGAGGAATGGGGATGGGGTGGTGAGAGGATTCACCAGAGACAGAGTGGGGAGCAGAGTGGGATCTACTGAAATACACTGCTGAGGGGAGCAGCGGGTGAGATAGGAGAGGTCTGCAGAGTCATGTGGGTTAGCTCTCCGGCCAGGGATTGAACTCAAGCCTCAGTAAGTGGCAATAGCTTGAGAACACTGAGACTTTAACCCCTGCACCACTAGGGAGGTCTGCCTCATCTTTTAATAAGTCACAAGAGAAGCAAAAAGCAAGAATTGCTCTAACCTTAATTTTTTTCTCTCCCATGATCAATTAAACATCGATGTTTCCCTTATATATCCCAATTCTGTATGGAGGAGTTCTTCCCTGCCCTGGAACAACAAGGACCTCTGACACAAAGCAATAAGCCCATGGGGAACAGAGGAAGGTCTGGCCTCTGGTTGTTCCCAAAGCAGGGTCCCTGTGTGAAAACACCCACTGGTTCCCAAAAGTTGCCCTCTTCAAGGCTCCTTCCTTCCATGCACAAACTTTTTAATGATATATTGATATATTTTTTTGGAAGGTAGGATAGAGGAAAGAATCTAGAATTACATTTGAGCTGATTGTAATATCTACAAAATTAATGTCTTCACATCTAATTACAGAACTAAAATGGGCAATTAGAGCCCATAATTAAAGGATGTAGGTAATGATGAAATTATAGTGTGCAATGATTCGGGGAAAAAAATCCTAATTATACTCTGTGAACCTGAAATCCCTGGCACTACCTCATATAACTATTTTCATCACAGAAGTCATTCACATGAGCTCATTGCAGAGCTTTTCCATGTCTCTCAGTGTATCTGTTCCACAGGGACAGAGTCCCTAAGAATATACCCCCCGGTACTAATTTTCAGCTCAGTTCACTCTCATCAAAATGACTGTTCAACTAAAAAAAAAATTGTATGTCATAATTAGTTGATGGAAAGCTAGTCTCTGGATAGTTTTAAAAAATTAAACTTTCGCCATCCCATAATAGGTAAGGTGTGGCCTAAGTAAGTCTTTTTCAGTTAGAAACATTATCTTTAAAGATGTGACAACGTTATCCAGGACAGGAAAAGGAGAGAATAGAATGGGAAAGCTGAGTTCTTCTACAAATGCTGCGCCTATGAAACACCCGAGAGCTTCCATGAGGAGGTGTCCTTCAAGCAGCTAAATATTTAAGAGAATTTGGCAAAAGGTTGGGCCAGAGGGGCTGAGAAGCGCCCCCATCCAGGTGGTGGCCTGGGACTGCCACTGGCGAAGATACAGGGGACAGAAAAAGAGAGTCAGAGAGTGACATGACACCAAAGAAGAATCGATATTAATAATTAGTCATCTCTCCCGCCCCTGGAGTTTCCCCAGCCCTAGTTTAGACTAACCTCCTACTCCTTCTTACATACCCCACACACTTTTTTTGAGACAACATTGATTTACAAAGCTGCATAAAATTTAGACATAGAAGATCACAGCCTTCAGGTGTATGTTATCACGTCACATCCCCTACACCCTTGGGACATGGGAATCCTCAGTAAATACAAATGATATGATCATTACCCACTGACACTGCCCAGCAATGAGCTCTAAAAGGACAGAAGTAGCATTTGTCTTGTGCATTACTGAATCCTAAACCCCTGCTGCTGAGCCTGGCACTATATGAATAGTCCTGGGCAATGAAGGATTGATGAGAGAACTTAGTAATAGTTAGCAGCAGGAACTCATTTCCAGTCGATCGCCTCCTCTCCCCAGATCACTGCCCACACTTTCTCAGGGGCAGCCCCCACACGACGCATTCACATGTTACTGCACACGTGTGTGCTGACAGCATGTGGAGAGGCCAAGCCACAACCATTTTCCCTTACCAGACCACACCCCTCATTTACTATGAAGCTCCTGGCACTGGACTAAAAAATCAAATCCAGCATTTCAACCACCATAACAAACATAAAATGTCTACAGGGCCAGAGGAGAGAGCATCATCCCACCCTCGCCCCACAAAACTTGTAGCAGAATCAAATCACTGAAATTAGTGTTCCCACCCCTTGGTTAACATAACCACTTGCTACTGGCAAATCAGAGAGAAGCCACTTACCCTTCCAGATTGTGTGAGCCTTTGCATACCAGCATCTCAGGGGTTGCATTTAGTTAAAGCAACTGAAATTAGAGGCAGAATCAAGGCCAAATTCAGTCAACATCCTCCAAAGTATTCATGAGATTAGCCATGTTGTCAATGCCCAAGAGGAAGCCAGTGGGCAACAGACTGGTAACTTTGGTGTCACATCTTTTTGACCTTTCAACTTAGTCTAGTCTCTAGCATCCATCATTTGAAGGCTAATGGAGGTGTCCCTGGGAAGGTGTTTTGCAATCAGTACTCACTTCAGCAGCACACATTCTAAAATTGGAATGATAGAGAGATCAGCGTGACCCCTGTGCAAGAATGACATGCAAATTCATGGAATGTTCCACAGATAAAAAAAAACAAAAAAAATATGCAATCATTTGACTTTATGTAAGAGATTATTCTAGATAAATTGGATGAAGCTGGAACAATTAAAAGGTCTTTTAAGCAGAGCTGAGAACTCCCTGCAGACAGGGACAACAGCTCTAGTCCTAGCCCCAGATTTTTAGCCTGAGCTTCTGGACAGACTGCCCTGTGGATTTTGGACTTGCTGAGGCAGCCTCCGCCATCAACAAAAACAAGGCTTTGCCCTATACCTCTCAATATTTATATGTCACCTACTAGTTTCCCTTCTCTGGTTGCAGCCTGAATGATGCAGTCCGAAAGAGCCTCTGAACACCTGCATCTGGTCTGTGAGTATTTATTGAGTGTCAGTATATAGGTGGCAGAGATGCAACAGAATGGAATGAAGGCAGGTGACAGGGTGGCTGCCTGCACCTACGATGAGAACCTGACTTGCCAGGCATCCTCCTGCACCAGCCGACACCTGCTGTAGGTCCTGGTGGTAGTGGCCAGGACCCTCGTGAATGCACATCCACCCTCTCTTAATTATCTGATAGATGTGGACTCTAAAGAGAATAGTGAAATAGAATTCCTGTTACAAGAAGTAAACTCTTAAAAGTTTTTCCTAGGAGGGGTGGCCGAAAACAGCCCTCAGGCACCGGGCTCTGGGGAATAGACCACAAGACCAAAAAGGTTTTCTTTTAGAAAGAAAACCAATGATATTGAAATACAGCTATCAAAATGTTTCAAAATATGAGTGGCACAGCAACAGACCTGCCCCTGATTCATCTATTAAATGCCAAGATCTAGTCAAGGGCCTGACTAGAGCTTCAGAGTGGTAATGAGTAGGTGCAATGTTTTGCGACAGCTGCTCTAATAATAATGTGATATAAAAGACCTTCAATTGTCACTAATTGGAAGAAATGCTAAAGTTTAGCAGAGCTTAGAAAAAACAAAAATGTAATATTTTTTCCATGCAAGGTCATTTACCCCTGCAAATTCTGCCCACAGACCTCATGTGTGAAACTCGGGTGTAAGAATCCTTACGTTAGTCCATTCTCTTGTATCTATCCAAGTTCATACTTAAAGCTACTAGGAAAATGTTGGGTATTTAAACAAACTTAAAATTTAACTGGAATGGAAAAATCCACCAACTCCTTTAGTGACCTAATTCATACTCTAGAACTTAAATCCTTAGACACCATCTAAAATTACATATTCATTTGGATTCTATTCATTTCTAGGTTATAATAAGGGATTAAATTGAATTAGACTAAAATGAATTCAAGTTTACCTTGGCAACATAAAAAAAGTTTACAGCACAAATAATTTACATAGATGAGATAACAGGGAGAATTTTAACCTTTTAAGAAAGCAAACTGTGTTCAGGTACTAAAAATGTATTTGTTTGTTTGTTTGTTTTTTAAAGATTTATTTATTTATTTATTTATTTATACAAGCACTGGGTACAGTCAGAAGCGCGGGAGGGTGAGAGAATTCACCAGAGCCAGAGAGGGGAGCAGAGCAGGCAGAAGGACCGAAGTACACTGCTGAGGGGAGCAGCGGCAGGAGAGGTCTGCGCACCGTATGGGACCCTCCTCCGGTGGCCGGGGAGCAGCCGGGGATTGAACCAGCGCTGCAGAGGCTGTGGGCAGCTTCGCAACCCAGTGCTCAACCGCTGCGCCACCGGGGAGGCCCAAAATGTATTTGTTTTTAATGTATGTATTAACAAGGACAACATTCAGGACAATTTCTTTTAGTTCATTAAAGCAGGAAAATGATGGCCTCCCTGGTGGCACAGGGATTAAAGACAGTGCTATCAAGCTATCACCAGCCACTGCAGCACAAGATCGATCCCTGCCTCTGGCCAGGGAGCTACCCTCATGGCACAGCAGACCTCTCCTGCCTCGCCCGCTGCTCCCCTCAGCAGTGAATTTCAGTAGATCTGCCTGCTCTGCTCCCCAGTCTCTCTGGTGGATCCTCTTAGCCCCCAGCCCCTGTACCTCTGGTCTACACCCCAGCTTTTGTATGCATAAATAAATAAATCTTTAAAAATAATAAAAAATAAAAAGTTTTTTAAAAATAAGTAAATAAAAATAAAAGCAGGAACATGAGCCAGCTGCCCTTGCTGTTCATGCTTCCTCCATGTTGTTGCTTTATACTCTCACCAGAAATAACCCAGGTCCAGAAAGATGTAACCACTTGGTGACCCAGAAGCAAAAAAACTACATAGAGCATTACAAACCCACTGAGAGGAGTATCATTCCTAAAGAGAAATAAGTAGTTTAATGAAGGAAATAATACACATAAAGGAATCAATCCTTAATAAGAATGCAAATATTAGCTATTATTGTTGAATTATTAACTTGATAATAACACATTTGTTGATAATACAGTTAATTTATGGAATTCTAATACAACATTAACAATGCTAAAATTATTAGCACTTACTACTGACACAACTAACTGCACATCCACCTTAAGTAAACATGTTTATAAAAATGTTGACTAAAAAAGTAAGACATATTGATGCTTTGGAACTTGACTGTGATGTGTCTGAAAAATGGGAGAAAAGGATTTGGCCTTTCAATTTCACATTTCAATTACATTCAGTTATATTATCAATACCTGAAAAAATTTCTTGTACTATGAAGAATAAAATGACAATAAAAGAAATATATAATTTTGCAAAAATATTTTCCAGTCACTATCATTTGACTATTAAGTCAGAAATAGCCTTACAAATCCTGCACCTGGGCCTCCCTGGTGGCTCAAGGGATTAAGCATCAGCACTATGGAACAGTCAGCAGCTATTACAGCATGAGTTCAATCCCCGGCCAGGGAGGTGACCCACATGGCATAGCAGACCTCTCTTGGCTCACCTGCTGCCCCTCTCATCAGTGTATTTCAATAGATCTGCCTGTTCTTCTTCCTGTTCTGTCTCTGGTGAATACTCTCACCCCCACATCTCTGGCCTATATCCCAGTTCTTGTATGCATAAAATAAATAAATCTTTAAAAAAAAATCCTGCACCTATTGTCACCCAGTCCTATAGCAGAAGTTATCACCTATGCACCCCAAGAAACTAAACTGTTTCCTTTCTATTTCCTAAGATATGGAAATCATGGCGGGGATCAGCCCCTGTCTCACAAATTCCTGCAAATAGATAATAATTTCTGCCGCATCTAAATTAAATTCCCCCTGTTTAATAGTATAGTGGGGCCCTCAGGAAGCTACATTGAAGTTCCAGCCCCTTGTATCTGTGAATGTACCTTAGAAATCGAGTCTTCATGGAGGTTATCAAGGTTAAGATGAGGTCATTCTAGATCAGGGTATCATCCCCAGCCCTTTCTAGCAGCAAAAGGAGAGGGAGATTCAGGAGCCTCCAGAAGGGAGACGATGCAAGTGGGACATTTCCCTAGAATTTTCAGGAGTACCTGGCCTGCTGACACCTTGATCTTGGAATTTTAACTTCTAGAACTGAGAGACACATAGTCTCTTGTCTGGAGCCACCCAGTTTGTGGTAATCTGTTAAGATAGAGCCAGAAAGCAAACAGAAGTAGTTCAAGTCATTGATTCTTTTTCTTCAGGAGTAATTTTCCCAAAAATCACAGACTAAGGCTGACGTGTCTGGCAGTCATGCTTAACTGGGGTTTTCTCACGCCGGAGAATTTGCTACGAGTGCCCTGCTTGCTGGACCTTTACTCACAGGGGCTTTCCAATAAAACTTATTATAGACAAGCTGCCAGCCTGTGGGCTATGATTTGCCAACTTTAGTATTTTAATATTGTATTAAACTATTCTTTATCTTGATCTCTAAGGGTTTTGGTGCCCCTATGAAGTTTTGTTTTAATTATTTTATTTATTCATTGAAGAACTGGGGTGTAGGCCAGCACAGACAGAGCAAAGAGCAGAGCAGGCAGATTTACTAAAGTACACTGCTAAGGGAAGAACCTGGTGAGACAGGTCTGCTGTCTCATATGTGGATTATCCCTGGCTGGGTTTCAAACTCAGGTTGATGTGGTGATATCACTGAGAATTAACCTCTAGAAGCCACCAGGGAGGCCCCACCCCTGTAAAGTTTTTACCAGAGGTAAGTGCCTCACTGTCCCATCCCAGCCCTGTCCCCTAAACCCCCCACTGTATCCACTAGTTTGCATTTTTTCCAGGCTGAATTGTTCTCGTTCCTGCCAGCCATTGTCCAGTGTTCCAGAAGACTGTGTAATAACTCTTGGTCTCCAGTGACTCTGACAATTGAGTGCATCTGTGAATTTAAATAACAGAGCTGATATTCCTTCAGATAATTGAGGAAATGTCAATTAAGGCCAATTTAACCAGATGCCTACAGGCGTTTCAGACACTTCCCTGCAGTGTCATTTTGGAACTCTGCACAAACTGAGAACACTGAAAAAGAGGTGGGAACTAGGTAAGAACTCATTTTATGCTGGTGCCTCACCTACTACCATTGAATTTTTTCCAAAGACTATCTCTTAAATGTGTTTGGCCTTGAGATTTTTTTATTGTGTGTGTGTGTGTGAGTGTGTTTCTGGTTTTTCAAATATAATTTAATGCAGCTCCCTGCTCCCTGCTGTGGCTGTCCACATGGAAAGAGACGCCTGGACCAGGACTCAAGACACTTGGGATTGCTGACTCTGCCACGTGCTGTGTGGTCTCTGTTCAAGTTGCTGGTTCCTTTTCACTCTTTCTTTCTTCATCTGCAAAAGGGAGTAAGGTATCTACCTTCTCAGAGTGATGATGAGTCAAAAGGAAAATAAATGTTTAAATACCTTGTTACTAAAGTAAGTGCTACACAAAGGTTACAAATGTATATGTACAGGGAACCTGGCAACTTTACCTTTCTGGGGACCACCCAGTTACAATCCCCACTTTTTTTAAAAAAGATTTATTTATTGATGCATACAAGAACCAGGGTATAGGCCAGATGTGAGGGAGGGTGAGAGGATTCACCAGAGACAGAGTGGGGAACAGAACAGACAAATCTATTTAAGTA